CTCTCTCTCTCTAGATGCTAAATCCGGGTTAGTTTAAGAGGATCGTAAAGATGGTTGGTATGGGGTGGTGACGCTGCTGGTGTTGACATCTTGAAGGGTGGTGATGATGGTAGGTATGAGGGTGATGGTGGTGGTGGTGGTGGTGGTGGTGGTGGTGGTGGTGATGGTATTAATGGTTGTGGTGGTGGTGGTACTATTTTAAGACAGGACCTCAGTAAGAGACAGGTAGATAGATAGATGGACGGAGAGAGAGAGAGAGAGAGAGAGAGAGAGAGAGCATCAGATAAACGAGAGATGAGGGAAGTATTCAACTATCACCTTCATCATCTCCTCAACACCTACCCAAGTCCCTCCCCACCTCCCTCCATCTCTACCTCCCTCCGTCCCTTCCTCTCTGCCTCCCTCCACCCCTTCCCTCTATCACTTATGAAAAAGTAGGAAGGAATTTGACAGTAAATATAATTTACCGTCGTTGGCCATATGTGAAGAAGGGGAGAGAGAGAGAGAGAGAGCTCACACTTGGCCATCACCAGAGAGTGTGTCATGGTCGACAGCGTCACAGTTTTAGTGAGTGGAAGATGTGAATATATATATCTCTCTCTCTCTCTCAACATTGTAACCTTAATAAGACTTGACTTCTCTACGACTGACACTTACATAAAACAAATAACTAATCTAAGCTGAACATACTTAAGACTGATTTACGTTTGGCATTATACTACGTCAACGAATTCAAGGATTTCATTGGATTATATATGGAAATCTGAGCATTGTTTTTACCGATGGTTACATATGTATAATCTGGGTATAATTAACATCACAGATTTTTCTTCATGGTCATTACATATTGCCAGGTCGCTTAACACTAATCACTTGTCATGTGGAAGTTAACTATCCTCGTTTATCTTACATCCCAGGGTTGTTTAGGGTCATTACACAGCGTTGGAGGTGATCGCCAGACACGGCCCACATAACAAGCTCGCTCATTGGCTGTAACTGATTGATATAGATTATGCGTGGTAAAGGAGCATGACAGGGGAGGTTAGGATGACAGTCCGCGCATGTCAGCAGGGAGGGGTGTGTGTGTGTGTGTGTGTGTGTGTGTGTGTGTGTGTGTGTGTGTGTGTGTGTGTGTGTGTGTTTTGGTTCATGGTGTTATTGTTGTTGTTGGTGTCGGTAATTTGGGGTTCTACTACTACTACTACTTTTCTTTTTAATTTGCCTCCAGCCTCCCCTAATAGCCATACCTTCGCCACCATTTTATTACCTTAAAATTAAATATCCTAATACATAAGTAGCTATCCTACCTGTGTTAAGTTAGTTGAGCCGCAGATCTGTGCGACATTCAGTGACTGTTGCCTCATAGTCAATGTCTGCAACTGTTGTCGGCTTTGGGGCCGATGCTCTCGTTCCCCTGAGGCAGAGCAAAGCCGACCTAAGGAGAGAGAAGGTCAGTCGACATCTCATCCAGACTATAACATAATTTCTGGGCTGCTGCTTCTGTTTGGATAGCACCTCCGCGAGTCTGGCGTAGAAGCATCTTGCACTTGGTCCCATCCCACCAGAGGTTGTGAACACTAGAGGAATGAAGCTGCTTTGATCAACGTTCTGAATTCTCTCCCCATATTCCCTTATCTTGTCGTTCTCGTTCCTCCTGTGTGCAGCATCGAGAGGTAAGTTACGGTGACATGCGGCCATGGGATAAAAAATCCTGATGTCGAAGAAGGCTCTCTGTCCCCGCTTCCAGAATCTTCGAGCACTGACGTCAACACGGGCTTCGTTGGACGTGTTTGAAGTCCTATGTTGGAAATTCTCACCGTCCAATGGAAGGAGGGTCGGTTCTACCCTGACATCACGGCAGATTTCCTTCAACATATTTGCTGTGAGATCCCTTACTTCGTCATGCCTCATGCATACAAAGCCCCCTTTCTTACACACCATGGCGTGATCGATGTCGCAGGATGAGCCACACGCATTGGGAGGTCAAACCTTCTACTGGCCTACCGTACCTTAGAGCATTGGCATCTGTAAATTCTTGTTTATTGAGACAGAAACCATTTGCCCTTATCGGTAACGTAGTTAACCAGTTCGAGGCGCCCACCTCCTGCGCTATAGCTACTTTTTTTTTCAAATTCTCTGGTACTTGCAGCAACAGTTGCTGCAACTTATCACTTTGGCTGTGCTGTCGTTCTGTCGTAATGGACCTTCGAATCTTGTTTACTTCACTGGTATCCATCTCCCCTGTTGCGCTCGGAGATATTATGTGGTCCGTGAGGGCTGCCGTGAGCTTATCTGAGTTTTGATGTTCGGTGGCAGCAATCTCCTCTGGATTGGTCAATCCCTTTCCTCCCAGTCTCGGTGGTAGTGCAAGGAGAGATCTTTCTACTACTACTACTACTACTACTACTTTTTTTAATGGCCTCCAGCCTCCCCCAATAGCCATACCTTCGCCACCATTTTATTATCTTAATATTAAATTTCCTAATACATGAGTAACTATCCTAGCTACTACTACTTTGTCGACACTGGCAGTACACAGTCTACCTTATCCCATATACAGGTGTGAGTTTTTTTTACCATTCATTCATCCCTCATATCTCTCTCTCTCTCTCTCTCTTCCTTCACTCACATCCCTCTCTCCCCCTTTCATGTTTCATCGCTTGATATCTATGTGTAATTATTTTTCTTATATTTTTATGTATTATTTTTGTGTTATTGTATTTTTTTTATAATTTTTGCTATTATTATTTTTTTTCACTCGATTTATTGACTTTTTCTTTTTCTTTTTAATTTCCGTGTTTGTGATTTGTGATAATTATTTAGTAGTAGTATAGACTCATTTGGATATGTTTGAACCTTTTATAAACACACACACACACACACACACACACACACACACACACACACACACACACACACACACACACACACACACACACAATTTAGGTAAGTCGTAATAGTGTTTTTGTACCTTGAGTTTATGATTGCTGTTTTTTGGGGGTCAGTCAGTGAATCAGGAAGTAAGGGAGTAAATCAAACAAAGGACAAATCCATAACTACTAATCCACAGCACCAAACATCACACTACCCCCAAGAACACACACACACACATGAGATGAAGAATGGTGTGTATACACAACATTCATACTTCCCAACCTCACCTATGCCTCCCCCACCTGGTCTTCCTCCCTAAATGCCACACAACGTAAACACCTAGAAAAAGTTCAAAAGAGGGCATGCAAAATTATTCTCTCCTCTTCCTACTCCACATATCAAGAAGCGCTCAACACACTGACCCTTTCGACTCTCACTGACCATCACCACGACCTTATCTGCAAATTTGGTAAGAAGCTTCTACACCATCCCCGACACCGGCTCCTACTACCACCTGACATCCCCTGTCCGAGAATTGCTGTTCGACACCACAACCGCATCCAGCCCATACGTGCACGAACCGATCGCTATAAGAACAGCCCAGTCCCAACCATCGTAAAAATTATCAATAACATGTAATAAATCAGTGTATTCACTCCCGGTAAACACTGCTCCTTACACTGTCACTATGTTGAAATGAACTGTAGTTTGAGCTGATCCCCATCTAAGTTATTATATGTCTTATTTGTGTCACTTATGTTACTTGTATATTATTTGTAACTCGTAACCCATTCCCCAAATATGTAACTGTATATTTTCAGCCTTCTGGCTGCCAAGCTCTTTCAATAAACCGTTAATTATTATTATTATTATTATTACACACAGGGCACAAACACATACTCATACACCTACACATAGACAGATATACCTACACACATACACACACACATATACATACAGGGCACAAACACATACTCATACACCTACACATACAGTACACACACACACACACACACACACACACACACACACTAACGAGGCTTTTTATCCTCGTTCAAAGTCTTCTCGTGTTTTACTGGACCCAGAAACTTAATACAACATTCTGATAGTTTTTTCCTGTCTATCTTAAGTATTACTAAATTGTCCCATTGAGTCACGTGAGTCCAGATATAAAATTGACTTCGTGTGTTTTATCATTCTCTCTCTCTCTTGTTTCCTGTTCTACTGTAGAGGGCGTGAGGTGGTGTGTGTGTGTGGGTGTGTGTGTGGGTGTGTGTGGGTGTGTGTGTGTGTGTGTGTGTGGGTGTGTGTGTGTGTGTGTGTGTGTGTGTTTAACTGTCATATGTATACTTGAGTCTCGTTTGGTTTTATCGGGTTGGGGTTAATATATGTATACATTATAACACATATTGGTGGTGATAAAATACTTGGTGTAAAGGATATTTATTTCCATACTTGGTTTATGTGTTTTTAAAGATCACCTGAAGTTTAGATCACTCAAGTTTATTTACCTGAAGATTAACCACCCCAATCTAACCTAACCTGGCCTAACCTAACTTGGTCTCTTTCCCTCGGTATGGCCACCTCTAGTGGTTGGCCACAAGGTAAATATTATAAAACTATAGCTTATGTCACCTATTGGCTGATAATATTTATGATGAGTAAATTCTTTCCCCAGGATGGACGACATACCAACCCCCCCTCCCTCCCTCCCTCCCTTAATAGACTCTGAAATTCTTGACCCTAAACTTGAATAGAATTCCTCAAGTCAGGATATTTGTTATCTTCTCTTTGATGTTTATTTATAAATTTCAGATGTAAGTAGTGCTGTGTAAGTGAGTGTAGCCAAAGTGATGTCATGATCATCCTGGGAATAATAATCTCCCTGAGGCTAGGTTAATACGTCACGATCTTCCTCCCGCCTGGTGTAGTGTTGCCATAACTTGTGTATCGATTAATTTTCATAACTACTTCCTTTGATTATCTTACTCATATTTTTGTCCTTATATTTCATCTTTTGTTTTGAGTATGTGTCATTATCTTGCTCTGATCACAAGTCCTGGTAACATCTGGTGACTAAGGAGGATATAGTTTGGCTTAAATGTTTTTCCTGGTAATATATTCAGCACAGTTTACCTCGTAGCTGGTAGTGGTCGCTTACTCTCCGTCTCCTACACTGATTAGCTCTATTCGTATTCATCTATGTTAAACGTCATATATATTATACCTGTCTATCTATCTATCTATCAGTCTCGTCTTGCTTCTAACACACTTTTCCTTGAGTGTGTCTCGTGAGTGTGTGTGTGTGTGTGTATCAGTATGTTCACACCACTCCAGAGACACTTACGCAGGAGGCCGGTGTTGGGTGGGTTGGTGACGTTGGCGTTGTGGTGGGCGGTATCGTTCCTCGTCGTCTATTCTCTCAGGAAAGACAGAGACGATGAGAGTGACGTTGGTGGTGAGTTTGCTATGGAGATACCTGAAGATAGGGTGTTCGCCCACAGGAGGAAGGCGAACTTGGGGAGAACGAGACCGCTACGTCGGGAGAAATACTACAAAATGATGGAGAATTTAATGAGAAGTCACTCTTCCTTGAACGAGTTATACCTTGAACATGAAAAACTTATACCAGCTCGAGTACCAACTGTGTCTAAGGGTAAACGATATCAGTTTGACGCTACGCTGGGGTCAACAGACGCCGTGAGACTTGGAGACTCCCGGGAATACTCATTTAAAGAGGATAATGAGAAATTTGGGGGGAATAACAGACGTCTTTTGCATCACCACGAAAGAACAGACTCAGAATCCACCAAACCACAAACCGGAAGTAACGACCAGACGCCAGGAAATGAGTTACTCCTCGAGGACCCACACCCAGACACACCCTACAGGACGAGGCTGTGTGAGGACAACCCGCTGGTCCCGCCGCCTCCAGCACACCGGGACACAGACCTCCCCCGCCAGCTGGACCACGTCACGACGATGCTCAAGACCCTCGTGTACTTTAGCACGTCCTCCTTCAAAGTCATCCTCGTCACGGATGCACAGAACATTTATGACCTTGTTCTCCGGCAGCTGGAGGATTGGCCAAGCAGGTGAGGATTGGTTTAATAAGATGATTAGACATGCTGTAATTATTAGGTTTTATATGATAATTATATAGATTAAGACAACACTCTGTTAAAAACACTTCATGTATATTTCCGCACCTGTACTTTACATCTTAGGTATCGGTCGAGACTACACTTGCAGCGAGCAGTACCTTCGATCAGTGTTCCCCCCCAGCAGGAGACAGTCGCTGTAGGGGGGTGGCATCACTATCCTGCCACGGATCGAAATACTTCCTGGTGAAGTCGCTGCCAAGGAAGGATACTGTCGTTTATATCGACCCCGAGGCCTTGTTCCTGAGCCCGGCGGAAGGGTTATGGGAGCTGGTTAAGGGCTTACAGATACCCTGTGCCCTCCCTTTCACCCCTGATCCACCCTACAGTTTACACGAGGTAAGGTTTGTGTGTGTGTGTGTGTGTGTGTGTGTGTGTGTGTGTGATGTGTTAGCGTGTGTGTGTGTGTGTGTGTTAGTGGGCGTGTGTGTGTGTGTGTGTGTGTGTGTGGTGTGTGTGTG